TCTCTTCCACATTTATTATTACTATTTTTTTATAAGATTGCATGCTTCACACTCTCATGTAATATTTCTTTCCTTTCTTCGTCTTTTTGTGAGAGCTTGGACAATCCACTTGTCCAGGCAAGAAGGCAGCAATGCCTGTTCATTCTGGCGAAGTAAAATAAAATATACCAACCAACCAACCAACCAGCTGTGGAGGAAGAAATGGAAGACGAGATTGCGAAACGACTCCACGCAGGGTGCAGCTGCGAATATGTGGATCATTTCTCCGCACTCGTCAGCTTTTCTTTGTCATTATACCTGCTTACTGCACTAGTTCAAAGGTATTCAAGCTGCCTATTACATTCCCACTCACAAGAACACACAGTTGTGGAATGTATTTGGATTATTTACAAAGAGAATAATGGACGTGCAAAGTAACAAGATAGAAAGAAGAACAAACTCAGACACAGGAAGTCTGAACTGGAGTGCGCATGCGCAGAGCATAGCGTGCAAGCAAACATGCGCAGAGCCTAGCGTGCTTACGCGCACATACAAACATAACAATCATCCCCCTTAAGAGAAGCAATAGTAAAGCGGAGATAATTATGATCAATATTCAAATAACAGCCATAGCGTAAAGGTAGCAGTAAAGCAGTCACATCTCATTAATAAGCCTAGATGGTGACTTCGGTGCACGGGCTGATCGGCGCGGTGCAACAGGGTCTGCAGACGGACTGGGAAGTGCAGACGGTTCGGACTCGTTGGCAGCGTCTGGTACTGACGGCTGCAATGCACTATCGGGTTGAATCAAAACCGGTGTGCCAACATCACTGCGAGGAAGAACAGCATCGGGTGGCGCTGTAGAATGATGACGGAGATGATCTACATGGACATGTCTTTCCTGCTGACCAATGCGAACAATGTACGAGACCGGACCTAGCTTCTGTACAATAACGCCAGGTAGCCACTTAGGCCCGCTGATGTTGCGAGTGTTCAATACAAGTACAGTGTCCTCCACCACGAAATGATGACCTTGACCTGGCTGTGGCCGTGCTTGACGTTCACGCTGTGCAGCTGCAAAGTTGGGCTTTAAGCGTGCCAACTTGGTGCTCGGTAATTTCCTGAAGAGCAGACTAGCTGGGGACACATTCGTTGATGAATGGGGCGTGTTACGATACATAAACAAGAAACGGTGCATCTGGGTCTTCTCAGACACATCCGAAGGACGGGACTTCAGAGCACGCTTCAACTCCTGGACAATGCGTTTGACTTGTCCGTTACTAGCTGGGTGGTACGGCGGTGTACACTTGTGAACAATACCACTCTCACGGCAGAAACGCTGGAACTGGTGTGATGTAAATTGAGGACCATTGTCACTCACGAGGGTCTTGGGTATACCAAACGTTGCGATAAATGTTACCAAACTGTCAATCGTCTGCTGAGTAGTGGCAGTGGATCCAAGCTTATATGCGTCGATCCACTTAGAGTATGCATCCACGATGACGAGATACTGCTGGTTGTTGAATTCTGCAAAATCCACGTGAACACGCTCAAAAGCTTCTGTGGGATACACCCATGGGTGGCTGGCATCCTTGCTAGGTGCTTTAGCTAGAGCTTGGCAGTGACTGCATGATGACACTAGAAGCTCAATATCGCGATCAAGGCCAGGACACTAAACAAAGCTGCGTGCTACTGCCTTCATTCTGACAATGCCAATATGGACAGAATGCATCTCATCCAGCAGCAAACGGCGAAACACTACTGGGATGACGGTACGGCCACCACGAACTACACAGCCCGACTCTATGGTCAGCTCATGACGAATCTTGTAGTATGGTCGCGTAGCGTCGCTGATCTCAGCTAGCCATCCGAACTGTAGGTACTGCAGTACTGGAGCAATCTCACTGTCCTGCTTGCTAGCATCTGCAACATCACTAGCATCAATTGGCAAATCCTCAGTAGGATCATGGGCATGCTCGTTGACAGCACTGACAATTGCACTCTCTTGTGCGGCTGTCAGCTCCATAGGCACGCGTGACAAGCAATCTGCGACAGCATTGCTACTACCAGAAATGTGCTCAAACGCATAATCATACACACTAAGAATGACAGCCCAACGCTGTAAACGGGAAACAGCAGTGGCAGATAAACCATACTTCTCACCAAAAATGTGCAGCAATGGCTTATGATCAGAGAATAGAACAAAAGAGCGACCAAACAAATAAATGTGTAAACGCTTAACTGCAAACACAATGGCTAAAGCTTCACGCTCTATCTGCGAATAGTGAGCCTCTGCCTTAGCAAGCGAACGGGAAACATAGCATACAGGCCTCCGGTTGCCATCAGCATACTCATGCATGAGACACGCGCCAATGCCGTAAGGCGAAGCATCGCACTCAACGACCACTTTCTCATTCACATCAAAATGAGCTAGCACTGGGGCACTGGTGAGCATACACTTTACCTGAGCGAACACCTTCTCACACTCATCTGTCCAGTTCCACGGAACACCTTTGCGGAGCAAGTTGTTGAGCGGCTTCAGAACACTGGACATGTCGGGTAGAAAGCGGTTGTAGAAGTTGACACAGCCTAGGAATGACTGCAACGCTTGAACATTCTTAGGTGCTGACGCCTTCAGGATAGCCTCGACCTTGTCCTGATTGGGCTCGAGACCGTTCCGGCTGATGCTGTAGCCCAAGTAGCGTACACGATCCACACGGATAGCACACTTCTGCTTGCGAAGACGCACACCACGCTCTGCTAGCCGCGCTAGCAGCAACTTGAGCCGCCGGTCGTGCTCTTCGACATCGCACCCAGTGATGAGAATATCATCATAGAAGCAGACGACACCAGGAATGTCGTGTAGAATCTCATCCATTGTCTTCTGCCAAATTGCTGGGGCACTGGACACGCCAAACGGAAGGCACTGGAATGCGTAGAGACCTCGATGTGTTGTGATGACGCAATACTTCTGACTGCGTTCCGACAGCGGTAGTTGTGCATAAGCTTGGCTAAGATCCAGCTTCGTAAACACTGATCCTCCAGCTATCTGCGACAACAGGTCGTTCGGATTTGGAATCGGGTGAAGCTTGGAGGTGATGTGCGGGTTGATCGTGACCTTGAAGTCCGCGCACATGCGAATGTCCCGATTCTGCTTCCTGACAATCACAATAGGTGAGGTCCACTCTGCTGACTTGACGGGCTTGATAATGCCTTCTTGCTCCAGCCTGTCAAGTTCCTTATTGACAGCAGGACGCAAAGCAAATGGCACGGGTCTGGGGTTGCAGCACTTGGGAGGGGCACCGTCGTTCAGGTAGATCTCAGCTTCACGATCACTCACTTTGCCCAGACCATCACGAAATACTTCAGGGTACACATCCTCTGCTGCTGGCTCACTCGCTGCAGTGGCGTTCACCCGGTTGAACATACTCTGCCAGTCAAGTCTCAACTGTGATAGCCAGTCGCGTCCCAGCAGCGGATGGCTGCCTTCACGTACTACGATGACCCGCGCACGAACATTCTGCGCGCTGTAGCGTACATCAACATCTGCTTCACCAACAATCGGCAGGACTGAACCATTGTAGGTCTTCAGTCGCACAGAACATTCACGCAAGGCAACATGTGTCCAATGTTGCTCCCATACGTCTTGCGGCACCAAAGTGTACATGGATCCGGTGCCCACCTCCAAATCCAATGGAGTACCGTTGATCTGCACTGTGGTGATTAGCATGTTCGATGTTGGCTTCCCAGCTGACACTTGGCCAACACGAAAACTATCAGACACCTCGTAGTCCGTGACTTCGCGCACATGATGGGCGGCAGTCTGCGACGCTGATCCTGACTTGCAGCACTTAGCGAATTGACCTGTCTTGCCACACTTCCTGCATGCCTGTCCCTTAGCTGGACATGAAGCATCTCCGGATTTGTGTCCCTTGCGACCGCAGCTGTGACAACTGACATGTGTACCAGCAGCTGGGTGGTGTCTGCCTTGGCCCCTGGCCTTGCCCTGGTGCTGGCCTCTCCTGGACGTAACTGCACTGACAGCATGATCACTCGCGGACTCCGATGCTCCAGCTCCAGCAGAAACAGTACGACTAGTCATCATCTGAGACTGTGACTGTGCATCCTCCCAGACGCGACAGAGCTCCAATGCTCGATCGACTGACAACGACGGCTCAGACAATAATTTTTTCTTCAAGTCAACATTCCTCACCGTTGCTACGATTTGGTCTCGGACTGCCTCATTGGTCTGGCGAGTGTTCTCAAAGGAACATAATCTAGCCTGCTGCCGTAAACGGCTGCAGAAATGCGCCGTACTCTCTTCTGCTTGCGGAACCAGCTGGCGAAACACATGCCTTTCGTAGGTAGGGTTTGCTGGGGCTGCGAAATGCGCGTCCAAAATTCGCTTACATTTCAGGTACTCGTTATCATTCGGGGTCTTCTGCTCCTCTGGCAGAGCATCGTCAGGGTCAAGTAGGTCATCAATAATGTCTTGAACCTGTGGTCCCGCAAAGTGCAACACCAATGCTCTTGACCGCTTCTTGTTCGAAATGTCCTTGCCCACTAAAAAATACTCAAAAGACTTCACCCACTTCCGCCAACGGATGGACACCTGGGAAGCTGGGCCTGACGTATCAAAACTCTGAAGACGCTTGTTGTCTTCCATCTTCGTCGCCAATGTTACATTCCCACTCACAAGAACACTCAGTTGTGGAATGTATTAGGATTATTTACAAAGAGAATAATGGACGTGCAAAGTAACAAGATGGAAAGAAGAACAAGCTCAGACACAGGAAGTCTGAACTGGAGTGCGCATGCGCAGAGCATAGCGTGCAAGCAAACATGCGCAGAGCCTAGCGTGCTTACGCGCACATACAAACATAACACTGCCCACCCACCTTAGAATGCTGAATATTCAATGTGCACATACATCGTATACATACATTGCACCAATTTGAAGTACATCTTGTATTTTGGTGTATACACCCGTTTTTGAATCGGAATATTGCACTTTTTCTTGGCTGAGGTCCTTCAGTAGATGTGTTTCAACAAATTTCCAACCAAAAATGAATTTTTTGAAACTTTTGACCCAAAGGGCTGATTTCGCTGGTTGAGGCCCATATCATTCCGGAAATTAATACTTAGTCCGCGTCATCGATATTGTCGCTTATCTTTCAGCTTTGTTTATATGTCGCCAATGCTTACTTGGCAGCCCATTTCATGCCAATTTTGGTTAGTAAGTTAGTTTAGATAGAGTTTGAGTGGATTTCGAGAGCGACGGGTGGGTGATTCTAATTGATACAGCGCCGCATCAAATATATAATATCTTGTTACGCTGTGCAGGCAAGAGCAGCGCAAGCCACAGGAAAGTAATGCGCTACTCGGAATCAGCTCCATTTTGCTGAACGGCCGAGATCGCTCACCTCAGGGATAGCTCGTCAAGATGAGATCTCAGCTTCCTCACCTCCAACTCAGCGCTCGGAGTATCCAGCGCACCGTGGAGATTTGCAAATACTGTACACGTCGTCGTCGTCGTTCAAAATAAAATCTTGCAAAGAAAGGCGTCTGATTTGAACCACACAGGCTGTCGTACTGCCCACGCAAAGTCCTATAGAGAAGGCGACCATCACGATCGACTTCGGTTTAGATAATAGCCAGGCAGAGGAGAGGTAGAGAGATGAGCTTGCAAAAGCAAGAGAGTCGATCCCAAGCAAAACATATTTGTCACCAGCGTCGAGAGCAGCGATGAGGAGGACCGAAAAAGTAGGAGCCCTTCCTTGGACAATAGATTCCTTACAGCTAGTTGTCATTCTATACCTTACCGTCCATCGTACCAAGTTTTATCACTTCAAGTGCACGCGTTCATGTCCAAAGTCTAAGTTCAAATTGTCGAAAGATAAGCGACAATATTGCTGACGCGGACCAAGTAAAATATTTCTGCAGGTCAAAACCGAATTTTATTATTATTATTATTATACGCATTCCCGCATTGAAGTGTAGCAGCAGTATGCTGCGTCCACAGCTTCGCTTATGCAGAATGGCTTGGGTGAGAGGAGAGGGGAGAGAAAGCAACAAGGCAACCAACATCTATGAAATTGGTCACAATAACATGAAGAGAACCAACCTACATAATTATGCATGATTGCACAAGAATGGAGACGACCAAATATAATGGCTATAATCATTGTGCCACAAAACCGGTACACAGGAGATCTGACGACAATGTAACGAAACATAAAACTCAGTTACTCAATACAGGTTCCACTAAATTACAAGAGAACAACGCTACAACGTTAGAATTGCCGCTAAATTATCGCAAGTGTAGAGAACGAGTCCAATACAAATGAAAACCATGAACAGACTGTCTCGAAGTTATTTTGGGAACAAATTGTACTACATGACTGTACTTGCTGATTCTGACGCTGACGGTACACGAATTTGAGTTGAATACTCACGAAGTCTTGTACATGCACATCATTATGCGCCGGTGTTGTGGAGTAAGCAGGTACGTCAGTCACCAATCCAGCTTCAGCTCCACGCTCGCTTCAGCAGAATGTTGCCCTCATTTGCTTTGCCTCCACACGGATAGACGACCAGCGCAGAATCCCGCAGTTCCGTGGCCGTAAGGTCTTGATATTCGCCGTTAGCGCCGTCAAGTCTCAGTCCACCTCTCACACCAAGCTGCCCTATAAAAACCTTTCTCTCTCCATTGGAGTGCTCCCCAATTGCGCGAGGAGACTAGAGAAATTCCTCCGGTGAGCGAGGAAGAAGAGCGGAGTTACCCAACTCAACCGACCTTTTTTTTAGTTAATTTATAGAGGAAAAAAGGGACCAAAGAACTACAAGTTAGGCTATAATCTTCTATAAATTAACCCTTGGCTCTGCATCCGAGTCCATATATTTTATTGAAAAACATTAATGTATGCCAAAGTTAGTGTATGACTTCTGCATGTGTTGTGTACATCCACTGGATCTGCAATATGGAGGTGTGTAATGTGAATGTGTGTGTGTGTGTGAGAGAGAGAGAGTGTGTGTGTGTGTGTGTATGTGCGTGTGCACGCACGTATGTTTGTGTGCGTGTGTGCGAGATGTGTGTTCTTTGTTTCCGGGTCTTGAACATACTGTCTGTTTACAGGATGGTCGATTCTAGTTGCTGCCCTAATCACCAGTGTACCACTTTGTGATGGTAAGGATATGTGCGTCATTACATCTTTGAATTTTTCAGATGCTAGTATGCCACGCACTGCAAAGAATGGGCACCCACTATGACATGGCAATTGCTCTGACAGTCCTTATCACTATACATAGCTTTTTCTTCCCTGAATCACTCGAATTTCACTAGCAGTAAAGCTGGGCAGAAGTGATTGTTTTTTTTAGAACAAATCGGCCGCTCAGAGAGAGGGTCCTCCTCTGAATATGTAGGAAATTTGGCACAAACTCCAGTATTCGTGGGGATTTATGGCAACGCCTCGGTCCAGCTATATCCGGTGGCAGTCTGAACAAAACTAGGAGATTCAGCCTTGTACTTTTCTATAGCAATATCTTTAAACTAAAGACAAGTTCACTTTAATTGTAATTTCTGCGGCACTAATACCGCTTATAGCGTTAATTGACTTAGTGTCAGTCATCCGAGGTGTTCTGTGTGCCGTGATATTGATATGCTGGCATGGTGTGTGCAGGTCTGGTTCCAGTGGAGTTGAGCGCTCGGTCACTCCCTGGAAGTCTAGCGTACACAGTCTACTACCTGAATGGATCAAGTACAGCACATGTTGGCCAGTTCTATTTGCCAGAATGTAAGGCTACTGGACTGGCTGCTGGTGGTGATGGTAGTGCTCAGTATTTACGACTTACTAATGCTGACACCGGTACAATTATAAATGAACAGGGCGCACTTAATCTTGCGCCTGCTGGCAGTACACCTACGCTGCACTGGAACACGTCATCGCATGCTACTCTGGACCCGACCTGCACTGGCCTGTACAAGTGTTCTACGGACCAAGTAGAGTCACCACAGACATATCGACTCAATGTTGTAGGTATGTGCTCAATGACTGTGTACATTGCTGACAGGGTTAGAAAGCTGGGCATAGGTATTCCCTTTGTTACGACAACAGGCTTGCAGCCTAATGCTGGAATGGGATATGACAACTGAATACCAATCTCTTACCAGTGATTTAGGATTAGTAGAGGAAATCAGAACCCCCACCAACACACACACATGCTTGGTGCTGACTTTAATACACGTTGTCTTGATATGTTCGATAGTCTAAGCCAGGGGAAAGACATGGACGAGGTTGAGGAACACTTGTCATGACTGACACACAGCAGTACTTTTCCAGCTAGCTATGAGTACAATGATAACAAAGGACTATGCACCATAGCACTGGATTCTGGGTTCACAGCAAGCCGGGAACTTTTTTATTCATTTTATTTTTTACTATGTTCACATTCCCAGCTCGAAATTAATAACGAAAGACAATGGTACTGAGACTAGGACGAACGTGACAACTATTGAGCAGGGGCTGCACAGGGACTATAGCTGTCTATGGGTAATTTAGTCCAAACATTCACATGTGTACAAAGTAGGGCTGAAACGGTTATACCGATTACTCGGTATTGACATGTTAGAAAGTATATTAATAAAGTAGAAGACATCACAAGGAAATGAGTTATGAAGCAACTACCCACGACTGTAACAAGATAATAAGCAGTCAAAAAGTGGGATAACGGGGCACAAAATGACACTAGAAAATGTATCAAACGAGTATTTTAGTTGCTATCGGCTTGAAAAAGCACAAATTCTAACGACGACAGGCAATATTTCTACCTTGGATGCATTGGGTCGCGTCGAAAATCATTTTGACGTACGCACCAGTGCACTTGATACACTGCGCGCACGCACGCTCGGCGTGGAGTTTGCAGTGCGGGTCAACCATCTCAGCACTTCACACTTGTCATGCAGGATCTACCTTGTGTCAGCGGCCGATAATTTACTTTTTTATTCTATTTTTTATGCAGTGCATGCAGGTTACTGTGCAGAAGTGGCAACACATTTTTTTCGCTAGTAAATACTTTCTTGAAAAGGGAAAGAACATGATTGACTAGCGTTTTGATAATTGTCGTTTGCCTTGCTAGTGGACTCACCTTTTCTCGAACACTCGCCTTTGCCAAGGTGATCTCCAGCAAACCGAGGACTGGAGTGTCGGTGAACTTCGAGCGTGGTGTAGAGAAACATGCTTCTGTTTGAGCGAAGAAAACACATGTTCTATCGGTAGAACAGGATGGGGTACTTTTTCTTCACTCACCTGGAGTTTGAGAACCCACCGATATTCCGACTAGGATTATACACCCATCAATTGATGTAGTGTGGACACCTTGTTTTCATGCAGTCACTGTAACAAGCTGTCCACTGTCTCTCATTTTTCTGCTAGTCCCATTGTCTTCTCTTGTTCTTTACAGTTCCCCCACATATTATAGATTTCGACACCCCCGCACATCTGGTTGGCAACATTAAGTACACCGTGACATGCACGGGTCGTGGATACCCAATGCCGACGGTGAAAGTGTTCGCCAACAACGGTGTGGAATTTCCCGGTGTGAATATCAAAAGTTGTACTGGTGGTGTGTGTACAACGTTGCGCGTGGCATCACTGAATGGCATTAGTTACACAGCTGGCACCATGGTGAACGCTACATGCTCTGTGGATATCAACCAACCGTCATTCAATTGCACTGCAGCTCAGACTGCATCCTTGCAAACAGCGTGCATCAGTGCTGCTAAACCAGTAACACAAAGCAAGACTGCTCGTGTTTCCGGTAAGCATAGACAGTATTTCTCTAATGAAATCAAATCTAAACACGCAATGCGGAGACAATAATCTTAAAATAAAGCAATGAATACAAACTGTGTACGTACTCAATTCACAATCATAGCCAAGATTAAAGTGTTCCAGAACATTTTCTTATCTTAAAATCAATGGAAGCTCGTTACTGAAGGGAATGAATAAAAGTATGAGGATTTATACAGTTGAAGTGGCAAAGAAAAGGTACAAGTAAGACTCATACTCGTCACCAGCTCCTTCTTGTTGGCTGCAGCTGCCAGAGCAAGTTGCAATGAACACCTGACAGATGTACGCATTGAGTTTAGTTTTTGTTTTGATTCGAAGCGATTCTGTCAAAGGATTAAAAGGTATTATGTAAAGGATGCGGTAGTGTGCATAAAGGTCTATGAGGTCTATGTGTGATTGGTAGAGCAAATTTAATCTCTGATGATGAACCAATAATGGTACCAGGTCATGAGCAGCTAGAAAATGCTACAGCTAGGAACAAAACTGATATGGACTTCTAAGGCAAGCGACACTCAGCTAGAGCGGATCTCCCAATATCTGAGCTTCTCTTTGCGTACTTGGAGATGCGTTTTAGCTGAGTTTGAGTCCAGGAAATACCTCAGGATTTCTTTTCAGTTGTGTGCCTAGTTCATGAAGATTACAATTATTCAAAATTTTGTTCAGTTTATGGACTTCCGACAGTAATCCATACGCATTTCTCCTTGGTAGTAATTTTCACAAATTTTCACTCCTGCATCTTTTCAGATGAATGTTCTGGACTGGCACCACATCATGGATATCAAGTTGATGCTCAACTGTATTCCACAGCCATTGGAACTACTCTTGACGTATCATGTGCTGCCGGCTTTACTAGTATGGATAATATCACCTCTATAACATGCCAGGGAGATAGAAGGTGGACAACTCTTCCTGTTTGTTCAGGTACGTGGCGCAGGTCAATGTGCACAGCACGACCACAACCAGGTACTGTAAAATCGTGTAGAAGAAGGTTATAATACTTTTTGCAGGGCATACCACAGCCATTGGAACTACTCTTGACGTATCATGTGCTGCCGGATTTACTAATATGAATAACATCACCTCTACAGCATGCCACGGTTTGATTCTGAGACAGGCTTCCATACAAAACAGGTGATGGCAACACCTAAACTTCGTTATGTGCTGACGGTGTACAGGTCCTCCCTCGTTAGTAGATAATCTCTGGGCCATCGAAAAAGTTATCTTATAAGGAAATTTGTCTTGTAACAGGACTGCAGCTAAAGGTGAAATTGGGACTAATTCATACTTACCTGGGCTACCCTCGATACAGCATAAATTATCGACGCTTCAACTTGTTATAAGATAATTGAAAATCTCCAACATCGCTCTTCCTAGGACGTAGAAGATCGTCCATATACCTTTCACACTGAAAGCGCACGTCGTTCCAAATACTACATGCACCATTGTCTGTTTGTCTTGCACTTGCATGAAATTGTATGTAGTATTTGGAACGATGCGTGCGCTCATTGCGAAGAACGAAATTACACCTACCCTTAGTAGAAGCAATCTTATCTATTTTTTTCAGTGCCGAGAATGTGAAAATCTGTACTTAGGTACAACCTTCCAGCACCTGGGCGCACGCATCCGTCAACATGTGCTGTCAAGTCTTGTCTTTGTAGAGGCTGGTTGTATTTCGCAGAAATTGCTACATGGATGCAAGAAGAAAATCGTCCCTCCATAACCCATGGCCAATGTTACGTTTCTCTGACCTGCATTGTGCCTGTTGCATTTCATTGCGTGTGTTCAGTTGGGTTGTATCAGTCATCAGGGTGTTCCGCTGTGTGTTGTTGTATTGGTCACCTGACATGGTATATACAGGACAGGTTCGTGTGCGCATGAGAGCTATTGCACTACCTGCCCGTACAGCGTTCACAGTCTACTACCTGAATGGATCAAGCACAGCACAGGTTGGTCTAGGTTATTTACCATCGTGTAGGGCCAAAGGAATCAATGTTGGTGGTAACGCTCAGTATCTACGACTGACTAATACCGATACCGGTGCAATTTCAGCAGAACGGGGAGGTTTTACTCTTCTACATACGGCCGCTACAACACTACTCTGGAACACTTCAGCACATCCCACTCTGAACCCAACCATCACAGGACTGTACAGGTGTAGTTCAGATGTAGGAGATGTCACAGGGACATATCGACTCAATGTTGTAGGTGTGTGTGCACGTGTTAACTGTGTGTCTTTCTAGCATGGAGAGAAAGCTGGGCATATTTATCATTGGTGTTAGACAAAATACTCTATTGCTTCAATGGGAAATGCCAACATGATGGTAGTATTCTTCCAGTGCTGTATGGTGAATAGAGTGACTCTGCCCCCCCCCCCCCCTCCCCCACACTATTGGAGTTGACCTTGATAGACGTCGCCTCAGTATGTTACGCGATCCCGGTCAGGGAGAGACGTAATGGAATCACCAATTGCTGGGGCATTGGCACCCTGAACCATAACTGGTTCAGCATTTAGTGGGTAAACGTTGGAAATATCATTGAAGAAGTTTTTATTTACAATAGTAACAAACAATTGTACCTACTTTGGCAAGTTGGGAGAACTGTTACAAAAGGCCAGTGAGAAGGCAGCTTTTGCCTGTGCCTATGGTGAAGTAAAATAACGCTAATCAACAACAG